CTCGTATAGTATACACATACCTAAACGAACTTGGATGGACAGGAAGGCACGTAGCAGTAACAAAAGTCAATTAAAATTTCTATTTGATTTGGCAAATGTCTGTGGCGTGCACATACTCGTACACTATCGGCTATTGCCACCCACATTGCTGACCAAATGCCAACAGAAGCCAGTGGGCCAAATGGAATTGGCTACAGGTAAAGCAAACATAACGTTGAGGACGTCAGTGCTGACAACAACAACAACAACAATAACACTAACAACGATAAGCACGCTGAGGACGATGAGGACACTGACGATGCTGGCAGGTAAACGAACTCACTGAATGGCAAAGCCATTGCAAAAGATGAGCTGAAAGTAAAATAAACTGAAATTGAGTGCAGCAGTTTGGCGTCTGGTGGGTGTCCTGGGTGTCCTGTGGCAGACAGGTGTCGTTGTTAGTGGGCATGTGGAAGTAAGTTAAATATTTTGCAGCTGTCGCCTTCTGGCAAGTACCAATCGACATACCGAAGAACCTCAGCAATATCAACAGCATCAGTTGTCAGACAAGAAGCACAACTATACCTTTGGGGAGCTACCAGACAGCAGACCAGAGACATTATTACAAATTTAATGTGCTGCTGTCAAATGTTTGGTTAATATGCTGCCAAATGCCAAATGTGCCAATTCGTATCATCGCAATGTTTGCTTTGAAGATGTCGCCAAATGGCAAGTAAAACGACATGTAAAGTAATAGCCTTTATCTATGACTTTGATGTCCTTCAACCAGCTGCATATATTTAGGATGAAAACAAGATAGAACGCTACATTCGCACAAGCCAGGCATTAAAATACCCTGTACTCTCCACAAAGAAGGAAATTTTAAACAATAAACAAATATTTATAATATTTAATTAATTTAATTAAATTAAATATAAAATATTCAACACATTCATACATATGTACATAAGTGTTTAGGTACAATTTGAATAGAATAAATTTATATCAGAACCGTGTCTCCGCGTGTTTATATGCGTGTATGTATGCAGTTGAACCATCGAAAAAAAACTTAAACTCGTACTTTCTCGGTCTTAGGAGAACCTGAATACCAAGTTTGGTTGTTCTAGCTCGTATACTTTTTGAGATCCTTGCATCCATACAGACGGACAGACTGACGGACATGGCTATATCGACTCGCCTTGTCATCCCGATCAAGAATATATATACTTTGTGGGGTCTGCCACGCCTCCTTCTGCATGTTACACACATTCGCACAAAACTAGTATACCCTTTCACCCTTTGGGTACAGGGTATAACAAACAAGTTACCTGAGCAGTATTACTTAAAATATTTCAGAGTACTCGTATTCACTCTTTAGTAACTTAGTTCTGTAAGTTCTATGATAACTTGTTAATAGTGGCTTTGTATTTGACCGAAGATTGTTTTTCCAACTGTATATGTCCCTCTATAGGGACTTGTTTAGTGATCCTAAATACAACAAAACGCTCGTAAAATATTTAAAGCCGCCAAAAAGATGGTTGCTAGTATTGGGTAACAAGAGCGCTAATATTTTGAAAACTGCATACTCAATTAGTTGACTCTTTTGTTGCCTACTATAAGATTACAAACCTGTAGATGTTGACGATTTTTGTAGTTCGGTATTCGAAATACAAATTTAAACATATGTTATAAATAAACGCTAATGAATTCAATTTGATAATTCTAATTTAAAAGAAGCGAACTCTTTAGATAACAACAATCGAATACTACCCGACTCTAGAATAAAGGCAAAAATAATGGAAAATGCTTTTAACAAATGAAATGAACAACACTTTAAACTATCTATTATTAATTATTGATTTAAAAAACTAACGGTTTTGTATTAATTCACGGTTAGCTTCTAGCACGCTCATGAAAATTAAATATGAAAATGCTCAAAGCACAATTGTTAAATTATGAACAACAGTCATATTAAATGCGAGCAGCTTTAACGCCTTTGAGCTTAAAAACTCAGACTCGATGAGGTTACCTTTTTTTTTTACCACGGCTATCGAGGCAATATAAACGAAATCAAAAAAGCCTGAAAACTAATTTCGAACAATGCAAAGCCGCTAAATGAAATTGCAGAGCTTATAATTTATGAGAGACCCGACTTAAATAACAACAACAACAACAACAGCACGCACGCACACAAAAGCGCTGAATTTATGATGCCATTTTTGTGTGTCGTGTGTATTACTACGACAACAAGTAGCTGTGTAGTTGTTATTCAGCGAGGCAGGTAGCAACATATAAAATGTTAGCAACCGGCATAAAACTTTACCATGGCGCGTTAATAACAATAAAATTTGCCGACTCGAATGAACAGCGCCGAAAAGTGTGCTACATAAAAGTTAGTGCAGGCTTTATTCGCATACGTGTGTGTGTGTGTGTGTGTTTGTGTGTGTGCACATGTGCCACTTGTTTTTGCTTTTGCTTTACAATAACATTTTTCTATAGCTGCCCGGTCTGGCATGGATTTACTTTTGAGTCCTAACCTTTGCGTTCAATCGCCTTCGGCCGCCCTTGCGTCCTTTGCGTGCACGTCTTCGATTGCCGCCACGACGACGACGTCTGTTGCCTCCACGGCGACCGCTGCGACGCCTATGGCGGCGTACGGCACGTGGCTCTACAACATCATCCTGCTCATCATCCTCCTCCTCGCGCTCCAGCCTGGCAATTTGTTCATCCAACTCGGCCAACACGACATTATCGTCCGCATCTTCCTCTGCATCCGCAATGATCAGCCCCCCATCTTGATTCTCCTCAGCTTCTTTGGCTGCTTCTTCAGCCTCAGCCACCGCGATTTCCCGTTCAAGCTCATCCAGTTTCTTGTCGGTCTCCTCATCTAATTGCGGAATTAAAATATCCTTGCTTTGGCGTCGACTCTGCGTCTTAGGCGGCACAGCCTGGATGGTCCGACTACGACTTCTGTGGCCGCGCTCGGCAGCCGTGGCGTAAACGCAGAGCAGCGCAACGAGCGCCAACAAAGTAAGACTCTTGAATGACATGCTGTTCCTGATCTGTTGGACTTGTCCGTCAGATTGCTGGCTTATATGCAGTTGTGGATGTTTGTTTATTGTTTATTACACGAACAGTTGTACCAACACACAAGAATAAATGCGAAGCATATGTTTTCCCGGAAAAAGAGAGCTGGCTTTCAGCATTAGGTAAACTATGCCCTACTTAACTCTTGAGCCGATGAAAACATTTTAACCTCTATGTAATAATGTGCTGTAAAAAGGCACAGCTAAAATCATGAATAATTCAGATTTTAATTCATTATAGTAAATTAACTTTGGCAAATGAATTAAGTCTGTTTGGTTGCAGACCTAATACTAGCTCCTAATTGATTATGTATAAGGGTTATATTTTTAAAGAATGAAATCAGAAATATATCTAATACTTATGTAGGGCTGGCAGCTCTTTAATCAGCGGATCGTCATCAATCTATCGCTATGGGCAGTCCAGGGTAGACTAGGAGCAGTAAGAGTTTGACTTCGGAAGCGTGAAGACGCTTGTGAACAATATACTTATGAATAAACTTTACTTTAATTTAATTAATACGAGTAATACGACGCTGTATGACTTCCTATAATGGCTGTAAATGTATTTTATTTTTATTAAATTTTATAGCTTAAACTTTTATTAATTCTTAAAATATTTCAAAACCATTTTCCTTGAAAGTGTATGCATTTGAATATTGTGTTAATGGGTTAAAGTTACTTTAACAAGCTGTTTGCTTTGTTGTTATTGTGTTTGATTAAATGTTTATCAGAAAGGTTTCGACATTTGTGACACCTTTTACTTATGCATTAAAGGGCCCTTACATATGAGTTTTTATTGTTCATGAGATACAGGCGCTGAATGAGCTGAACTAATGATCCAATGTTCTAAAGGCACGTACTGGACGCGACGAGCTGCCGCCAACAACCACAACAACAACAAAAACAACAACGGAGCATGTTGTTGCTGTTTTGGTTATTATCATCGCCCCCGTTCTTTTTTATTCATTTTAATTGTAGACACGTACGCGCCGCACGCCCGCTACTGCGCACACAACTGCATAAACATGACAATTTTTGGGCCATAGATAAAAATACAGATACAAAAGATACAGATACTATAAATGTATATGTAGTGTACAACAATAAATTGACATTTAAGGCATTAATTCATGATCCATTAGATTATGTTTTTGTTAAAATTCAAATAAATAAATAAATAAAATTGTTTTAATTTTCTTTAGATAACTAGTATTTATCGGTTGGGCCATAAAATAGATTCAACTCAAAAAAAAAACATTACCAATAAAATGTAAATGCAGATAACATTCATGCATTTAAACATTGAGTGTTATTTTTGCGACCGAATCGTGAAGAATGTTGCAGAAGGCTACGTCAAAAACCGTTCAAAAAGGGTCGAGAGAAAGTTAAGGACGAACCAAATGCAACAGTAACTAATGATGAACATGCATATCAAAGAATTGGTGCTCCAAATGGATCAGTCAACATCACTTTAAGAGAATTTTTGTGCCTCGCAAAAGTCAAGTCTCCCGTGGTTCCAAAAATACTCAGCTTTTTCGATGTTGGAGTTTGTGAAAAAATCCTTTCAGACTACACTGTTTAAGTTATATACAAAGGGAAAACAGAGAAAATTAAGTTTCATTTGGTGTAGTTGATCAATGTCTGGTTTAAGGAATGTTTCAGATATTTTTGAAATTTCTTCATTTCTTATCAACATTCTTCGGAGATAATTTTTTTAACAAGTAAAGAAATTGATGCGTTAATGAGATATATATATACAAGTAATATCCTATGTAGCGTCGCTGACCAAAAATTTAATAGTTTTCTAATATATTAGAATACCGCAAAGTCCCATTGTGCCGTCACTCTATTTCGATTTGAACGATAAAAGTGCTTAAGCACTCTGCTTGACGTCACATTATAGTAACATTTTACTCTGCTTCTGCACCATTTCAGATCCCTGTCCAGCCTCCTATTTCACATGCAATGATGGCTTTTGCATACCAATGCGGTGGAAATGCGATTCGAAGCCCGATTGTACAGACGGCTCTGATGAGGGCAGTGAATGCGGTGAGTAAGCAAAGCCCCCTTCTTCCTATGCGTATATTTCCAACCATCCCGGGCATTGGTGGAGCGGAATTGTGCGGCTGCTATGTGGCTATGTGGCGCTCATTGCCATCGTTGCCACACTGCAGCCAGAAATTGCGATATTATGGGTTTGATTGTTAGTTGTAAACGTTTTTGAATGCCTCTGCTGCTTCCATTACTGCTGCTGCCATCGACTAATGACAGGTGGTCAATGCATCAACGAATAGCCGAATGCCCCAAATGCAATTAGTGGCTCGTGCATGTAGCTGCACTTTACTGTGCCCGTTACTGTGGCATGGAGTGTAGTAGTATGTGCGTGTGTGTGTGTCCGCCTGTACATTCAGCTAGGCCAAAAAGCCAAAAGCATTTTGGTTAGTGGCCCTAATGCAAAGTGCATGGCACCCGACACTGTCGCCCAACATTTGATATCACTTAAAGTTCTGTCCACAGGCGTTGCCATGATTGACTACGGCATGCTTCAAGCTTGCTGAACTTTGCACAATGTATTTACTCTGCTTATACTCATTGTACTATAGTATAAAGCACTTGGCTGAGCTCTTCAACTCGCCAGCCGCTAAATTAATGTGTAGACATTTCTCTGCACAGCAATAAAAACAACGACAAGAGTCGTCGTCGCCAGAAAGCGACTTGGTCGTCCATTGTTGCCAGTAGAAGTTGCCATTAGTCCGTTGCAGCTTGCCCGGCGTTGGCATTTTTAATTTCATTTATATTTGTGGCATTTTTGTAGCACTACGAAGATGAGTGCGACACGGACGACGCACAGTGGGTCACAATTCTCTTTTTCGCCAACAAAGTAAATGACAAGTGTGTTCTGTAAAATCCTACAATCCTAAAAGATTTCTCTGTAATTCGTTTTAAAAAGCTTTGGAAGTTATGTTTTCTGTTTTATTTATGTTGATTTATAACCTGTTACAAGTATGTATGAATATTTATCTCATTATCATATCATATCATATCAAATCATTATACATATTTTCTGGAGAAAATATGTTATTTTTGTGAAATGTGCAGCACACGATTCTTAAAACAAACAGTATTATACGAATAAATCTTAGGCTTAGTTTCCTCTTAGATTTAGAGAATTTTTATACTCTGTACATGAAATGTACAAGAGTATATTAGGTTTGCGGGAGCTGAAAAATGTAACAGGCAGAAGGAGGCGTGGCAGACCCCACAAAGTATATATATTCTTGATCAGCATGACTAGACGAGTCGATCTAGCCCTGTCTGTCTGTCTGTCCGTCTGTCCGTCCGTATGAACACCTGGATCTCAGAGACTATAAGAGATAGAGACACCAAATTTTGCACGAAGATGCGTTATGTGTGTATTCTATACGAGTTTGTTTTATTTTTTTGATTTTCCCCCCCACTTCCCCCCTATGGGGGTTTTCCCGATTTTCCATTCGTATAATCGCCTATATCTCGGAGACTATAAGACCTAGGAACACCAAATTTTAGTCCCAGATGCCTTATGTGAATACGCAGAAAATGTATATTTTGGAATTTCCCTCCCTCCCCCCTCTACCACGCAAATCGTAACTCCCGTAATTCTTGGAATTTCGAACTAAAATTTTGGAAATACCCCCAGTTAGTTATTATGTGTCCGTATGCCAAATTTCATTATGATAGACCGATTTAACAAGAAGTTATAGCCATAAATATATTTGCTGATGCAGCGCTGCTCAAGCGCTGCCCGCGGCTGTTGTTGATGTTGCTGTTTGGTTGACTGCGAAAATGCTTACACAGACACGAATTGATGCGCATAGGCATACATACACTCACACAGACGCAATTGCTATGTAAATGTGCAATTGTACACCCTTTATGGAGTTCGAATACCGAGAGAGGTAAAATCGATCAAATTTTTTTTTTTATTTTCTTAATTTTTTTTATTTTCTATAATTATTGTAAACATATGTACAGAGTATTTCAAAGTCGGGACACCCGACTTTAGCTTTTTTACTTGTTTTTATAAGAAGTTAGTTTCGTTTCAACAACAAAAAGAATTGTTTATTCAACTTACATTAACAATTCTATAGGAAACTTATTTTCTGTTCTTGAATGCCCTCGACTTAGACATTACTTCTTATTTATTTATTTATTTATTTATATATATTTATGTCAACAAACATTGACTGTCGGCAAAGAAGAACAATATATGTACATATCAAAAGAAAAAAATAAAAAACTTAAAGTAAGAATTTACGACAATGTGTGTCATTATTTTTATTTGTATTAATGATTGATGGATTGGTCCACTTTATTGTATAATATACTTGTATATTTTTTCTATTTACTGTGGCCGATGTCCCATTGTGCGATGGCGGCAATGACTCCAGCTACTACGACGACAATGTCGACAGCTACGTCGACGACAACAAATTGTCGGCAAATATTAATGCAACAGATTATAATAAATGTGCCAGGCAGTGCCTTGTCATCTACATTTGCCAAGCTCGCTTTCTTTTCTACCCCAATGCAATTTCAATTAAAGCCTGCCATGCCAAGTGCGGCATACAAACACCAATATACGAACACTTAACGGATGAGAGGGCAGTGCATTGAGTCACTGACTTATGTAAGTCGCGTGAAATAAATTGTCGGAAATATGAGTGGATCCTTTGTGGTTTCATTTCAATTGAGCGCTAAAGTTGATCAACAATTTTTCAGTATCAAAAACACTTGATCTGCCCCACTTTTCTGCACGTTGTAAGCAAAGTTAGCAACGATGTGGTTATTTTTTGTAATCCATACCATTTCGTCGTCTGTTTCAAATATCTTTGAATATGAAGTGAAGACACCTATAGCGTCGTGATCGGCTTAACTTCTTAACTTGAACTACAAATACAAACTTTAACAGGGATGACACAGAAATCTCCGTCTTCCAAATTTTGCCCCTCAACCAATGCTCGGCGCAGAGAACTCTTATGGGAGGCTTCTTGTCTACAGATTTGGTTAAAAACACAAAAAAAAAATAAAAAAATCTATCATGGTAATAAGTGTAAGCAATTGTTTTTCTCAACAATCTACATTAAAAATATTTAACTTTTCGTCTTTGTATATTAACAATTAAGGTAATTTCAAAAGCCATAATTAAAAAACTAGCATTCGCACACAGTAGCCAAAACAACCGTAGCAATAAAACAGCTAACTTGGTCTTAACTCAATTGTTCATATTTCGCACTTCATATTTTGCTAAGATGAATCTTATTTTTAAATTTAAATGAGAGTTAAAAGTAAAACCAATATTTGACTAAATTTTTATTTCACATAAAAACCATAAAAATGTGTATTAATTACACTAAGTGTGAAAAATCAAATCTCTCAAAATTTATTTTTGGAAAGATTGTAAAGTTTTCTGTGCCACCTTTATAAATGTAAATAATTAAAAAAAAAGATGTTAAAGAGCAACAAAAATATTATTCAGGTCTTAAGAAATAAAGTATGCATAATCGAACCGACAGAGCTCTCATGGCCAAAGAGATGGCTTAATTGATTATATAAGTAGTTGCTACATAGAACCCGAAACGAACTGTGCAAAGCGTAGTTGGTGGTACAGCGATTACATGAGTGAAAAGCTTAGGAAGCACATTTTTTAATATTAATATGCGTAGTCGTTTGGCCAGTGTTATTGAAATTAAATTGAAAGCGGAAAGCGGCTGCTGTTTGAAGATTATCCTTCTTTCCTTTACGCTTTCACTTCTACCCCAATTTGTTCTCCAACGGTTGCAAGTGTATTTGAAATGAGTTGTTGAATAATTTTTGGGGTTGCTTTTTATTTAAAGCTACTTGACTTTACCGTCGCCCGCAAATGTTTCACAATTGCCTAATAGCATAATTTTTGGGCAATATGTAAGTACGTTTTTCTTTTTTAGGCCAAGTTGATTAAATAAATGCCAACACCCAGTAATGGCCCGCGGAGCTTCAAGCACGACCCCAGTTCAATGTATGCTCATTCCACAAAACGGAAGCAGAACTTTGGGTTTGTTAGCACCCCGCCGCATAAAAATGAAATAAAAAATTTAAAATGTGTCCCATCGCGTTGACGCATGCCCTTGGGCTTGTTATGATGACTCCCCTTCCGCCCAATGCCAATTCGGCAACCCCACGAAACAAAAGGGGCGGCCAACAACAAAAGCTACAGCGTTGCAATGCAAATTGCTTGGTTTGCTTTCACGTCTCTGGGGTATAAGCTACTCGTACTGTCGAACCAAGCAAAGCTTGTTTTGGCCGTCCCATGTGTCGCTAACGTGGCTTTTATGGTTATGGCCGCGCGTCGTTGGGTTCTCGTTGGCGTCGCCTTTGATTTGGGCACGCATTATTTGAATTCTTTTTGTTAAACAATTTGGCGTGTGACAATTTACATTTTTTGTTCGTTTTTGTTGTTGTTGTTGTTGTTTTAATGTTGGTTGGTTATGTTTTCCGCTCTTCTGACTGAGCAGAAAATGTGCAACCAGATACCAGATACACCAAGCTGCTTACTCGTATGGTTCATAAATCTTCATTTTTGATTTTTGTTTTTGCTTTACAGCCAAGGCCCCCAAATGCAACGAGGGACAATTTCAGTGTGCCCAGACTTTAAAGTGCATACCAGACAATTGGCTGTGCGATGGCGAAGACGATTGCGGCAAGGGCGATTTATCCGATGAGAAAAATTGTAAATGATATTATATGCATACAATGTAACATATACAGTTGCTATATAGTTAAACTGCATTTTTCAGGTCACGATACTGAGGCACCGAATTGTCGCGACTTTGAAGGCGAGTGCCACAATGGCGTGTGTCTGGAGTTGTCCCGCTTTTGCGATGGCCACTGGGACTGTGATAATGATGAGCTGCAATGTGGTGAGTGCTCCACTAATTCGCATCGCACACTAAGTAGTACTTATATGTAAAATGGGCAACACATTTTTAAAACACACTATCATTCTACTACCGTCACAGTCTTATAATATGATTCCAATAGTAAACAGATTAAATACATTTTCACCCAGAAACATTCCACTAATCGTTTTTTAAAATTCTCAAAGCTTTTATCGTAGAAGAACCACATTATAAGACTGATGCTGCATATATTTTGTAATGTAAAAAGAATGTAAAAAATTTGTTAGAACCTGTCTGTATGTAGTTTTACAATTATTGAAACATAGCCACTACTTCTAAAGGAAAAACGATTTTCGGTTTTCAATTTTTTAACCCTAGATGGGACACTTTCATCGCAAACAACTGAAGCTTCTATCACATGATTTCTCCCATAAGCAATATATGGCTCCCAGATATAAAAGGGCTTGAAACGTATTTAAAATATCAAAGTAAATAAGCCGTCAGACCGAAACAGTTTTTAATCAAAGCTCCACAGAACCTAGAGCTTTCTGTTCTATCTAATGTTTGGAAATTGTGCTATGTGCATATAAATTAATATTATTATATATTATATACTCTATATATATATACTATATGTGTGTGAAATATTAAAATAAAATCCATATTGTTTGTTTATATAGTATAACCCGTCTTATTTTCTTGGAATACTTTTTGTTATTTATCGTCTTCTTTATGTTCCGAATATTACAAGTATTATTTCTGTTGCGTCTCTGCTGAAGATATATTGGTGACCATCTTATGTACCAACTGCCATTTACCAGCTACCAATTAAAAACTCCATCGTTAATCCTTTAGATAAGCAAAATGCCGCCTGTGCCGCGCTCAATTGCAGCTATAACTGCAAGCTGACACCTCAAGGAGCGCGTTGCTACTGCGCTGCTGGTCAGGTGCCCGAGTCCCTCAACTCGACGCGATGCATGGACTACGATGAGTGCAGTGAGTCGGGCGCCTGTGATCAATTATGCCGCAATACGCCCGGCTCCTATGAGTGTGAATGCGTGTCGGGATATGTGAAGCAGGGCAGGCGCTGCCTGGCCATCAATGGTGCGTATGGAATGCCTGATTGCGGCAACAGCGGGTCCTATAAATTCTCATTCTCATTGCAGTGCCAGCAACGGAGCCGGCCACATTAACGATGCTATCCGTTAGCGGTATACGACGCATTAACACTGCTCCAAAAGTGGAGCCCTCAGCACGGCTCCTGTCCACCCAGCCAGTGAGTCATGTCCTGGCATTTGAAGTGTGGCACCGGAATCGCACATTGTGTGCACTACACAACAATTGGACTGATCTGTACATGCAGTGTCAGCGAATTGACGATGCCAATGTTAACTGGACGCTGGCCGTGTCGCCTTTTATATCGCCCCTGCAATGTATGTGTAACGTGCTCATAATTTTCGTCCTTGTCTCACTGAGATTGCGTATTGTTTGCAGTTTTCGTGGAGCTGCGTCTGGACTGGTTATCTCGCAATTGGTATTTGCTGAATGAGGACGATGGTCTTGTGTACTTGTGCACTAATGCCATGACATATTGTCGTGTGATATTGTCGGAAGTGCAGCATCCGTCTTCCTTAGTGCTCGACCCACTTAACGGGTATATAGTCCTTAATCTACAACATGGTTGTAATCAGATTCATAATGCGTTTTATTGCTTATAGTTATATGTTCTATACCGACGGATCGCCCAGCTTATCCCGGTCTCTACTGGATGGCAAAAATGTCACATCGTTGGTGACCACACAGATATATCATCCCAGTAGCGTCACTCTGGACTTGCCCAACAAGCAGGTGTATTGGATTGACATCTACAAGGATCTCATTGAGCGCGTTGACTACGAGGGCCAACGGCGCTGGTCATTGAAGAAGACTGCTGATGTAAGTTATCTAATTGATAACCAATCATTCTTCTTCTTTCAAGCTGTACTAATTAACTTTTTATAGTCGCTAATGCCACTAAAAAATATACAGGCTGTCGAAGTGTTTGAGAACTCAATATTTCTGGCACCCTGGACTGAGCGGGCTGTGGTTACGCTGGACAAGTTCACGCTGAAGACGTCCTTACTGTTGAGCAACGTTAGTCGCGGCACAAATTTCCGCATATTCCATCGCCAAAAACAACCGGAGGTTGCACATCCGTGCCGCGACAATAACGGGAACTGCAATCAAATTTGCGTGCCACATTGGACCCGCGGATTTGCCAGCGCCAAGTGCCTGTGCACGGCTGGATATCAGCTTCACAATCTAACAACGTGCTTCCTAGCCGCACACGATAAGTTTTTAGTATATAGTGATAAGAGGTTGGGGCGAATTAGCGGTGTTCCATTAAACACAGAGGATGTGCAAAAATCAATGGAACGCGGTGACGAGCCAGACGTAATGGTGCCTATGTTCTATAATTCGTTTGCTTTGGATGTGAATGTGCGCGGCAAGTCCATCTATTTTGTGGTGGCAAATGGCGCAGTTGGAATCGACGATGATGCCAATTATAGCATTCGGAGTCAGTCGCTTAATGGTAGTGTATCGCGTATTCTGAGTAGCGGCCTCAAGAAAGCATCGACCTTGGCCTACGATTGGATCAATGAGCATTTGTATTGGACAAATCATCACAAGCTTCATGTGGCACCGGTGCGTAATATGAGCAAGATTCTCACATTTAACACGGACTGCGATGCAATGTAAGTATGCCCCCCTTTGCTTAAGGACTTTTAAGAATTTAAATTTCTTGTCAGGTCCTTGGAACTCGATCCAACAACGGGACTGCTGTACTGGGCCCAATGGGCTTTTCTTTCCTGTGAAGCTGGCATCTACAGCGCCTGGATGGATGGCACGCACAAAGAGGTGCTTGCTAAGAGCACCAGCGAGATGCCGATGCAGCGACCGCGTAGTCTGGACGTTGATCGTCGCACTAAACGCCTGTACTGGTGTGACTTGCACGCGGGCACAATCGAGCGCATGAAACTTGACGGCACTAGCCGTGAGATACTCTTCAAATCACATCAATTCTATCCTTACTCCATGGTGCAGCATAACGGCATGATCTTCTGGTCGGACAGCAAAAATGCGACTATCTGGCGCTTCCACATGCATCATGCTAATTTAAGCAGCACCTTCAGTTCTACGATGCATTTACAGCAAACCGGGCGAGCGTCGGATTTGCGCATTTTTGACGTCGCTACGCAGCCCATGCCCCAGACACCCAGCGCCTGTGCGCTATCCAAATGCCCCGGATTGTGCCTGAACACGCCCAAAGGCGCTATTTGTCGCTGCCCCGATCGCTACACACTAAACGGCACCGGCACCCATTGCATACCACAATTGGCATCGGTCCTAACACCAGTGCGAGCGAATTGTACGTCGGGGTTCCAATGCCGGAGCACGCGACAGTGCATCGACGGCAAGGATCTGTGTGACGGCTTTGACGATTGCGACGATGGCAGCGATGAGAGCAGCGATGCCTATGGGCCGTGCAATCCCCTTAGCTGCGACAAGACACTGCACTTTGTGTGCAATGGCCGTTGCTATCAGCGTGCGCTCCTCTGCAGCTCGATCGCCTATTGCTCCGATGGCTCCGATCAGCGCAACTGTGAACACAACACTTGCAACAGCAACGAGTTCACGTGCGAAAAGAGTGGTCGCTGTATTCAGCAGAGCTGGGTCAATGACGGCGTTATTGATTGTGGACCGGACGATGATTCGGATGAGTCCGGCGAAGATGTTACGGATATATTTCTGTCGGGCAGCAAGTGTCCAGAATTCGACTGTGGCAATGGACGTTGCCGGCAGCTCTCGGACTTATGTGACGGCATTGATAATTGCGGGTAAGAAAACAGGCGATATACACGTATAGTACCATAAATTAATATTCCACCTGATGATGGGGTTAGTCTTAGCTCATCTAGCTTCTGGCACATTCTCTTTTATGCTTCTACTTAATTTTATGAAAGTTCCCTTTTCTTTTTTACAGCAACAATGCTGACGAGTTCAATTGTGAACTAGAATGTGGTCACGGGGAGCGATATTGCCGTCCCATTGGTTGCTACGATGAGATGCACATGTGCGATGGCATACATGATTGCCTGGACTCCAGTGACGAAGCTAATTGTACTGAAACCAAAAGCGATAACCACCCGCTCAGTGGTTGGAAGGACCTTTCCGAATGTGCTCCATTTGAATTTGCCTGCACAGATCCTTTCGAGTGCATTCCCGATTTTTTGCGCTGTGACACCATACCTCACTGCTTCGACAAGACGGACGAAGAGAATTGCACAAAGCTGCATCCCACAAGATTTGATTTGAACGAGACTGTCATTTGTGAGCACCCAGATCGCATGTGTGGGGACAAATGCGTAACGGTGAGTCAGCTTTGCGATGGCCACAATGACTGTGAGGACACGACTGATGAGGGCTTTCTATGCCTGGACGATATTTGTTCCACTCAAAATGAATGCTCGCACTACTGCCATAATACTCCTGAGGGCTTCATATGCTCTTGTCCCCCGCACATGTTCCTGCAGCCGAATGGGCGGCGTTGTAGCATGCAACACGCCTGCCAGCATTGGGACACCTGTTCACAGATATGTGAGACTATGGGCAAGGCCTACGCTTGCCGTTGCCATGATGGTTTCGAATTGGCCTACGATAAGTTCACGTGCAAGAGCACCGCTGAAGACGATCCTTACGTCATTTTCACGAATCGTCAGGACATTCGTGGCATTAATCTGAAAACTTCGAGTGCCAATAATTTCTACACATCCCTGCGTAACATAATTGCTCTAGACTTTCTCTACACCAACGAGTCGGTCGAAATTTATTGGACGGACGTAATTGATGATAAGATCTATCGAGGTCAATTGGTTGGCGAGAGTCTTCGGAATGTGGAAGCCGTTGTGCACTCAGGGCTGTCCACCACAGAGGGATTGGCTGTGGATTGGATAGGTCGCAATCTCTATTGGATTGATTCGAATCTTGATCAAATCGAGGTGTCCAAGCTAAATGGCAGCTTTCGACGAACACTGATTGCTGGCAACATGGAAAGCCCTCGAGCAATTGCTTTGGATCCACGCGAGGGCTTGCTTTTCTGGACCGATTGGGATGACAACTCGCCGCGCATTGAACGCTGCAGTATGGCAGGCGAAGGTCGTCGACTGATCTCCACCAGCTGGCAGCTAAGTGCCGGCTGGCCGAATGGCCTAACCCTAGATTATACACAAAAACGTGTCTACTGGGTTGATGCGAAATCTGATTCCATAACGACCACGAAATATGATGGCACAGAACATCATGTAGTGTTGCGTAATAAAGACATACTATCGCATCCTTTTGCCATATCTGTGTTTGAGAACTTCGTCTACTGGACGGATTGGCGCACTACATCAGTGATACGGGCCAATAAGTGGAACGGTAGTGACGTTCAAGTTATGCAACGAACCCAAACCCAACCATTCGGCATACAGGTATTACATTCGAGTCGTCAGCCTTGGCAAGGCAACCCCTGCGGAGAAAACAATGGCGGATGCTCGCATCTTTGTCTGCTCAGTGGAAAAGGTACTTACAAGTGTGAGTGTCCGCATGTGATGCGACTGGATCCGTCAAACGAGCGGGAATGTGTGCCCAATGAGCAGGTTCTGCTCTTTGTCATGGGCGACGAGATTCGTGGAATCGATTTACAACAACCGAATCATCATACAATACCGACCATCAGGCAATCCCCGAGGGTAAGCACCCTATAATCATTACCCCTTTAGGTTACATCCATTTACACCGCTGATTTCCATTCACAGCTTGTTGCACCACAACGCATTGATTTTCTTGTTGAGGAAGGACGAATATATTGGTCGGATATACAACAGAATGAAATATCTATGGCAGGCATTTCGAATGGAATCATCGAGCCTATTATCAATACAAACATTGAGAAACCATATGGCTTCGCCATCGACTGGATTGCAAAGCATATGTACTTCTCCTCCGGTGTTACGCATTGCAAGATTCTCGCAAGCAATTTAAAGGGGGAGTACGTTACAAATATCATTGAGCAAGGCCTGAACATTGTCGAGAGCATCGTACTTGATCCAGCTAAGTAAGTTTAATGAAATACTCCCCATCCCCAATTTACTCAAGTCATGAATATATCGATTTGTATTTGCAGTGGCAAAATGTATTGGATACATTCAAAGCACGATGCCACGCTCTGGCAGCTAGAGCAGGCGAATCTGGATGGTTCCGGTCGTAGTGTTATTTACGAGCACGACAACAGCTTACAGAGCTTGACCATGGATTTTGATTCACAGCGTTTGTACTACGCCTATGATAATTCAGGTATTGCGTACTACGATATACCACGAAATGAAACGCACAAGGTTTTGGTGGCTAGTCAAATCACCTCGATCAGTTCGGTAACGGTTTACAATGGCACGTTATACTTTCCGGAAAACATACAAAGCGTAATCATGCATTGTGAGAAGGAACAATGCTTAAATATGTCATTCCTTCGCGTCAATACAAGTAAGTACCTTGCATCTAATGAAAGGTTACGTTCTTACAAATTCCATTCGAGTTACAAACTCAATTAATAAACGAAAACCTTTATCGATTATACTAAGCTGTATTGGTGTAAGCTTTAACTATATCATTTGCTCCTTTTTTCCGTAGAAAGCATACAAAGTATGAAGATGTTCCATGCCGAAGCGCAGACGGGCACCAACACCTGTGCTGGGCCTTTTCGCGGTGGTTGCGAACAGCTCTGTCTAGCCACATCGCCCACCGAACACGTTTGTCGCTGTGCACTTGGATATGATGTGGAACCCAACAATCCCACGCGTTGCGTACCCCGTGCCGAGTTTATTTTCTATTCCATAGATGTATTATATGGCGTTGAAATGATCGATCCCAGTGAACAATTTAACCCACCGCAACCAGTAAGACCTTTCATTTTGTGGCCTCCATTCCAACCCTATGTAATCTTCTTGATTTTCGATTTCAGGCACTCGTTCCCATCTCACGCATTAGCTCGGCCAGTTTTATTGAATATCATGCTGCCACAAATATGCTCTACTGGGGCGATAATGAAGTTGGCACTATATCGCGCGTGCGTCGTGATGGCACGCAAAGACAGACGGTCCTGGAGGCCATTAATTTAGCCGGTTACAAGCAGCAGGATTGGTTGGGTGGTTTTGCGATAGATTGGGTGGCAGGAAACATTTACTGGAGCGATACCAAACGCAATTTGATTGAAGTGTCTCGTCTGGATGGTACCCATCGCTATGTGGTCGTCTCGAATGTGGAAAAACCTACAGCCTTGGCCGTGGATCCGCAGCAGGGCTTACTCTTCTATGTCACACAACATCACATTGGACGTACCGGTCTAGATGGAAGTCAGCCGTTTGTGCTGGTCAATCAAACGCGCAATAATGTGGCTGTTACCAGTCTTATCTTGGACATAGATGCCACTAAGGTGTACTGGGCCGAACGTCATCCGAATGCGATTATGAAAGTTGACTACGATGGAAATTTGCGCCAGCTACTTCTTAATGATACGCTTAATGATACGGTAGCGCTGGCCAAGATGGGAGACTATTTATATTGGGCAGAGAATAATTACCATGTGGGAGCCATTAAAGTGGCGCCGCTTTCCAATCTCAGCGATGCACGCCCAATACTGCAAACCGAGGAGGATGCTATACGTGATCTCAAGATTTACTCGCAGCGCGTGCAGAAGGGCACCAATCCATGTGCCGCTAACAATGGCGGGTGCGAGCAGCTGTGCCTCTTCAATGGCACCAGCGTCGTTTGCGCATGCGCACACAGTCGCCTGGCCGCCGATGGCTATAGTTGCGAGCCCTATGACAATTTTCTGCTCTTCAGCTATCGTAGCATCATTGAGAGCATACACATGACGGAGCATGCCAATAAAAACTGGCCAGTACAGTTAATACAAAATGCAACTCTCATGCGCAACGTGATCGCCATTAGCTACAACTATGAGGCACAGCTGATTTTCTACTCGGATGTACAGTTGAGCACAATCAATGCAGTACACTTCAATGGCACTGGGCAGCGCGTGTTGGTAACACAGCAAGGACGCGTCGAGGGATTGGCGTACGATATCGTGAATGAACAATTGTTCTGGACGTCGAACAACGATGCTTCTATTCGGACCTTGGAACTATTGCACTTGCGCAAAACAGCAACTGCAGACGAGAATGCTCAGCATGTGCGTCTTCTGCTTAGTTTGCAGCCCAAGGACAAGCCACGTGGCATAGCCGTGGAGCCCTGCATGGGTATGATCTATTTTACAAACTGGAATGAGGAAGCACCGGCTATTCAGCGAGCATTTGTCACTGGGTATGGTGTGGAGCGCATTATACGCACAGATATTAAAATGCCCAATGCATTGACATTGGACTTGGAGGAGCAAAAATTGTATTGGGCCGATGCGCGTCTAGACAAAATCGAGCGCGCCAATTATGATGGAACACAACGTGTGGTCTTGGCACACTCGACCCCCAAACACGCTTTTGCTATGGCGGTGTACGGTGACTTGCTCTTCTGGACGGATTGGGTGCTGCATGCTGTTGTCCGAGCCAACAAATACACCGGCACAGATGTCGTTTTCCTACGAGAGCATGTGGCTCGACCTATGGGAATTATAGCTGTGCAGAACAGTAGCATCAATTGTGACTCGAATCAATGTAAAATTCTAAATGGCATGTGCGAAGATGTGTGCATTTTGAGCAAAAATGGATTGGCCAGCTGCCAATGTACCCAAGGGGTACTGGCGCCAGATGGCCATCGTTGCATTGCTCCCGTGTCGACAACATGCGGCAAATCACAATTCAATTGCCACTCCGGCGATTGCATACCCTTAGAGTTGACGTGCGACAATGTAACCCACTGCCCCGATGGATCAGATGAGGCCCGAAGTTATTGCATCATACGCGAATGCCCCCCGACCCATTTCATGTGCCAGAACCATCGTTGCATTCCCAAAGCGCACACCTGTGATGGGCAGCAGCAATGTGGCGATGGCAGCGATGAGTCTCCACTGTTATGCAAATGTACGGCGAATCAGTTTCGTTGTGGCAGCGGGGAGTGCATCGATAAGGAGCACTTATGTGATAATCGACATGACTGCCGTGACGCCAGTGATGAGAAGCACTGTGCGCCGCGTGAGTGCGAGCAGGGTGATACCCTTTTCATTCATTGTGCAAATAGTACCGCCTGCATACTACCTCGATTTATTTGCGACGGAGAATCTGACTGTCCCGAAGGTACAGATGAGTTGGGCTGCGGCGATGTGTCAAAGACGACCTGTAGCATGACCCAGTTTCGTTGTGGCAATGGCCGTTGCATTGATGCCAACTGGCGATGTGATGGCGAGAATGATTGCAATGATATGCCCGGCAAGGCGGGTCAGCCAGGCGGCGAGGGTTCCGATGAGTTTGGCTGTCGTACAGCCTGTAAAATGAATGAATTTCATTGCGACTCTGGCTGCATACCCAGCAGTTGGCAATGCGATGGCAAACAGGACTGCGAGGACGGCTCCGATGAGGGACCACAGTGTCCAAATCGTCCATGTCGGGCGCACTTGTTCCAATGCAAAAGCAGCGGTCGTTGCATACCACAGAAGTGGGTATGCGATGGAGAACCTGATTGTCCGGGAACTCCGGACCAGGGTCAAGAAGATGAAGGACCGCATTGCGGCAGTGGAAGTGTGGCGCGCATTCCTGATTGCCCGCCACCGGCTTTCGTTTGCTCAAATGGTCAGTGTATCGATTCCCATTACGTATGCGATGGCGATGTCGATTGTCCCGGCGGTGATGATGAGTACGTGGGTTGTGAGTCCACCTACACGGCTGGAGCTTGTCCGGGGGTCAACAGTGCAGTGATGCATCAGTGTACGGATGGAATGTGCATTTTCAAGAATCAAACCTGTGATGGACATGCCGACTGCAGTGATGGATCTGACGAATCGGGATCTCTATGTGCTCATACGCGTGCTTGCAATGGAGCCGATGACTTCCGTTGCAAGAATGGTGCATGTATAAGCGCCGATTTGCTCTGTGATCGACGCAACGACTGTGCTGATTACTCCGACGAGGAGTTATGCAATTTGAACGAATGCCTAATTCCAGATGTGTGCGAGCACGAATGCGTAGATAAGGTCGTGGGCTATGAGTGTCGTTGCCGGCCAGGCTTTAAACTATTGCCTAAAAGCATGTCGCTGTGCGCAGACATCGACGAGTGCCACGAACACCATCCTTGTTCGCAAATGTGCGTCAACACCTACGGTTCATATAAGTGCCTATGCAGCAAGGGCTATGAACTGCACGATCATCATACCTGCAAGGCCACCAGTAACGAGACCATGAAATTAATATTTTCTAATCGCTACTACATACGGCAGGTGAATGTAACGGGAAATGGCACCATACTGATACATCAGTTGAGCAATGCGGTAGCTTTGGACTTCGATTGGGATACGCAATGCTTATTTTGGTCAGATGTTACCTCCACGGTGGCGATGATCAAACGGTATTGTCCAGTGGAAAACAAGACACAGACATTACATCAGGCAATGCTCAAGAATCCAGACGGTCTGGCTGTAGATTGGGTTGCGAAGAATTTGTATTGGTGCGATAAGGGTCTGGACACGATTGAGGTCAGTCAGCTGGACGGTAAATACAGGCGCGTGTTGATCAGTGAGCAGCTTCGTGAACCGCGTGGTGTGGCTCTAGATCCCTATCAGCGACACATTTATTGGTCCGATTGGGGTGATAACCCACACATTGGCAAGGCAGGCATGGACGGATCCCAGCAGCGTATTATTGTTCGCGATAATTTGGGATGGCCCAATGCCTTGACCATATCCTTCGAGACTCAGCAACTCTTCTGGGGCGACGCACGAGAGGATACAATTTCTGTGAGTGATCTGGATGGCAACAATACGCGAGTGCTGCTCGCGCGTAGTATTAACCCGCATTTGAACCTCCATCACATATTCGCCATTGCCGTGTGGGAAGATAAAATCTACTGGTCCGATTGGGAGACCAAATCCATTGAATATTGCAACAAGCACGATGGTCAGAACTGTTCGACCCTCATTACCACAATTCATCGGCCCATGGACTTGCGTGTCTTCCATCCATATCGCCAGCAACAGCCATCTACGGGCAATCCCTGCCTGACGGCTAACTGCTCAACGCTCTGTCTGCTGTCTCCCGAGGAGCCGTACTTCAAGTGTGCGTGCCCCAACAACTTCATGCTGGCAGAGGATGGACGCACGTGTCGTGCCAACTGCACCGCCGCGCATTTTGAATGCGTGAATACTTATAAGTGCATTCCCTTCTATTGGCGTTGTGACACCCAAGACGACTGTGGGGATGGCTCTGATGAGCCAGAGTCCTGTCCACCGTTCCACTGCGAGCCAGGGCAGTATCAATGTGGAAACAAGAAATGCATACACCCGTCAGCCATTTGCGACGGTGTCAATCAGTGTGGCGATAGTACGGACGAGTTGAATTGTGATAAATTCACCTGCTTCGAGCATCATTTGAAGTGCGAAGCGACTGCCAATAGTACTGCCTTCTGTGTGGACAACGTGAAACGTTGCGATGGCGTTCGTGATTGCCCGGGCGGCGAGGACGAAAATGGTTGTACGCTACTCATCTGCAAAAAGGATCAGTTCCAATGTGGAAACAACCGCTGCATGCCGTATGTGTGGGTCTGTGATGGGGACATCGATTGCCCAGACAAGTCAGACGAGGCCAACTGCGAAGAGGTCTCGTGTGCACCCAGCGATTTTAAGTAAGTAGTTCATACGATGGGAAAAGCCTATAAAACCCACTTTTTCATGTAACGTAATCCTTAATCGGGATTAGGCGTTAAATATGCCTTAGCATTAGGTTTTAATCCTGTACTAATCACCTATATGTATCTCTTATTTACAGATGTAAGTCGGGTCGGTGCATTCCTCTTTCCTGGCGTTGCGACGATGAAGAGGATTGTCCGGATGGCGAAGATGAGCCCCCCACTTGCCACACCTCTAAGGCCACTTGCGATCCCACGTACTTCCAGTGCAACAACTCCAAATGTATACCGGGTCGTTGGCGTTGCGACTACGAAAACGATTGTGGAGATGGCAGCGATGAGTTGCATTGCCAAATGCGCAACTGTTCGGAGAGCGAGTTCCGTTGCGGCACCGGAAAGTGCATCAAGCACGATTATCGTTGCGATGGCGAAATACATTGTGATGATAACAGCGACGAGATCAATTGCAACATAACGTGCAAAGCCAACCAGTTTAAGTGCGCCGCCTTCAACACTTGCATCAATAAGTAAGCGATTAACATCACTATCCTCATCAGCGAATATTAATTGCTTTACTCTTTCTTTAGGCAGTACCAATGCGATGGTGATGATGACTGTCCCGATGGCTCCGATGAAGTGAACTGCACTTGCCCCGCCGATCATTTCACCTGCGGCAATGGGAAGTGCATTATGTCGCGCTGGAAATGCGATGGCTGGGATGACTGCCTCGATGGCAGCGATGAGAGCTTTGCGACCTGTGCCCATGTGCATTGCCATGCAAATGCCTTCAAGTGCTCCAATCTTATTTGCATTCGCAAGTCTGCTTTGTGCGATGGCGTCAATGATTGCGGCAATCGAGAGGACGAGTCGGACGAAGTGTGTGCGGCATTGCCGAAATGCCGTCACGATCAATTCCAGTGCGAAAATGATGATTGTATAACGAAAATGTTCCGATGCGATGGGCAATACAATTGCATCGATGGCTCCGATGAAATGAATTGTCAGCCACCGGTCTGTGGCTTTGGAACGTGCTCGCAAATCTGCATAGAAAAGAAGGCTGGCCACTATAACTGCAAATGTACGGCGGGCTATCACAAGGGCCCGCAAAAGAATGCCACCTGCCTGGCTTCAGGACCGGATCAAATCTTGTTGCTGGCCTCTGAGCAAGAGTTTCGATTCATATTGCCAGCCAAGCAGGAGGGCACCACAGTCGTCGGCTTCTTTCAGACGGACAGCTTGAAGATTGATGTATTCGATATACTGATACGGCCCAAAGATACGCTATTATTCTGGATTGACTCGCACCATGGCAAGGTGCACACGATGAAAATTGCCACGCCCCATGTAGAGGGCGCCGGTGTGCGTGTGCGACGGGACCTTAAGGAGCTTACTGCTTTTAATGTAAGTGGTTGCAGTCCCTGTTTAATTTAATGACATGTTCTTAATGCTACTTCCCTTATAGATACCCGATCTAGATGATCCCAAATCGTTGGCTGTAGACTGGATTACGCAAATGGTGTACATCATCGATTCACGTCACAATCAAATTCTAGCAACTGATATTGATGGCAAGAAGTACATTTCGCTGGTATCAACTGGCATGAATCCCACTGATATTGTGCTGGAGCCTGAGTCTCGAATTATGATTTGGTCCACCCTGGAGAATGGCATACTGGTAGCCTCGCTGGATGGCAGCAACAAGAAGAGTCTTGTGGAACGTGATGTGGGCTGGCCCATCAGCTTGTCCATCGACTATCCCACAGGTCGTCTCTATTGGGCAGACTATCGCAAGGGAACCATCGAGACCTGTCGTCTTAATGGAAAGGATCGCAATGTTGTGCGACGTTTCGCCAACAAGGAGAAGCCTCAGAAAATCGACGTATTTGAGGATTATCTGTACATCAAGTTATACGATCAAAGCATTATCAAGATGAACAAGTTCGGCAACGATAATGGCACCTACTTGCTCAAAGGCTACCGATCCTCGGACATTGGCATCCTGCATCCCATGAAGCAGAATCGAAACAGTAATTGAACCTTTCATATATATTTCTTGACTCCGCGTTCACATGTATTTTGTATTCGTATCCCTTTCAGTTACCAATCCCTGCGCTAAGGAGCCTTGCAAGGCAGCACATGCGCTCTGCATACTCTCCACGGAAACTTCCAGCGGCTACAGCTGTAAGTGCGCCAATGATTTTATCATGGCCGATGATGGCACTTGCAAAGCCCATGCGGACATACCAGACTATTGTCCACTGAAGTGCAATCTGGGCAGTTGCCAGCTGGTGGATCATGTTCCCAAATGCGTATGTCAGCCTCAATTTGAGGGAGAATTCTGTGAGCATTACCGCTGTTCCGGCCATTGCTTGAACTTTGGTCTGTGTACGGTGGCCCCACATGTGCCGGGCTCATTGGAACCGCCCCCTTTGAAGTGCAGCTGTACGCCCGGTTGGTCGGGCGCACGTTGCGAGACCTCAGTGCCGGAATGCCAGAGTCGTTGTCACAATGGCGGCTCCTGTCTCATCACAGAGACGGCAGGCATGAAGTGCACCTGCCCCGATTTATATTTTGGCGAGCAATGCGAACACTGCATTAACTTAACCTGCGAACATGGCGGGATCTGCCGCGAAACGCTGACTGGCACGCCCCAATGCGAATGCCCCGATGGCTATTCGGGAAAGCGCTGCGAGATTAACGAATGCGATGATTACTGCCAAAACGGAGGAATTTGTAGCATTGGCGCTAAGGGGCAGCGACAATGCCGTTGTCCCCATGGATACTACGGCGACCGTTGCGAAACCGATTCGTGCAGCGACCTGTGCCTGAATGGTGGCAGCTGCATTAAGGAGAATCACCTCTTCAGCTGCAAGTGCCCGGCGCGCTACATCGGCGAGCATTGCGAGGTGGACTTGTGCAATACCTCCAGTCCCCCACGGTTCTGTGAAACAAACTCTAGGGATTGCACTGCCATCATTTGCTTGAATGGCGGCACTTGCCATATGGTCAAGGGCTTAGCCGTTTGCAATTGTACGAGCCAATGGAACGGAGATTTCTGTACACTGCCCGTGGGTGAGGATAATCCGTGTGTACGCTATTGCACAAACGGCGGAGTTTGCCATTTGAACGAATTCGGCCAGCCCCATTGCAGCTGCATTGGCGAGTGGGAGGGCAGCCAATGCAATAAGCCCCCGCGTTGCGTCAGCGAGTGCGGAGTGTGTCGCACTGGCAGCTCCATCAATGAGTGCTTGTGCGATAATGGTGCGGTTGAGCCCTGTCTGGCCGATAGCGCGGATACGTTAAGCGGGGAGCATCAACAGCAGCAGGAGCCATCGGCCAATTTATTGTCGGTGCTTGCCGTAACACTCGCTGTGGCCTTTTTGGTTTTAGCGCTGTTTGGTGCCGCAGTCTATTTCCTGAAGTATGTATACAAACAATGGGCATCATATTTGATAGCACATTCATAAATCAGTGGATTTGATTTGTTGTTCTTTCGTTTCGTTTTAGAAAACACCGCATTGCACAGCCCTTCTCGCATGCACGTCTCACAGATAATGTGGAGATTATGCTGACCAATCCAATGTATCGCGGCGACGCCGATGAGGCGCCGCCATTTGTACACGAGGACGATAAGGTAAATATTTGAAGTACTTATGGTTTAGGTGTTTGTTAAAAATGTTCTCTTTTGTGCAAATAGGGTAACTTTGCCAATCCGGTGTATGAATCCATGTACGCCGATGCTATTGCCGAGCCAGCCAATACGGAAATTGCTCACAGCACTGGACCCGATGAGCGGAATTGTCTATTGCAGCACACACACGACGAGACCCATACGCCCGACATACTCTGATGATTGACCCGCCAGGAGCTAAGCTAAAGGCGCATACTCACACAGCAACTAAGAAATATGAGAACACGAACAAAAAAGGACTGATAGCGTAGCCATATTACGAATTTTTTAAATGTTATAAATTATCTTTTCCTTGTTTCCTTTCGGCCGACCATCCAAAGAAAGAAAGAGCTGCTGGAATGCAGCTTAGGCAGCTTATGCAGCTTCTTATGCATATGTCCTTATCTTAGATACATTCTTGTCATTTGTTTAAGAGCTTTTACAAGTATATTTCCATGTGTTTTTATTATCGTTTAAGTTTTTTAATACTCAGCCATTTTTGTACATTTATATTAGGGTTAGTTTCTAAAGCAACTCAATGCAGCTCAAAAACTTTGTACATATTATGAAAATTGTTTCTATTGATTGTTAACAGCCTAGTTAACATTTTAAAACGAGCAATAACCATTATTTTGTGAACAAAAAGCGCCAACAAGAAATTGTAAAAACATACGTACCATATGTTTTTAGATTGACCAAAAATGCATTTAATTTCAGTTTTAATACAAGCGAATAATTGACTAGCAACTTGATGAGCCTTTCATAGAACTAGATACTCTTTTATATGGTACATTAAATAATGTATAGTTTACACACAAACTAAAATAAACATGCCATTTCGTGTAAAAAAATTAAAGGCTCAGATTATTTATATTTATTGTTAACAGCCTAGAAACATTTTAAAACCAGCAATAATCATTTTGTGAACTAGACTGCCAATTTCCATACAAACGAATAATTGACGAACAAACTGATGAGCCCATCATATAAATAGATACTCTTTTACATAAAATTATGTATAGTTTGCACAACAAATAAAATAAAAAAGCAATTTCTTGTAAAAAAAAAAAAACAAAACATAAACAATGCTCAGATAAAAGCCAAATTTTAAATCTAAAGAATGTAAAAATTAAATACACATCAACTAAATATGTATGTATAAGAAATCGTTAATAGAACGTATTAAATGATATGCACTAAAAACACCCAAAAGCAATTGTAAAAAATAAAAAATAACTTTACATATTAGACACTAAAAAACGTAATTTTTTTATTTTTACATTGCAGTATGATCTTCATGAAAAATCGGATCGATATAGCCACAATAATGAGATCTATCGAGCTTTTCTGCTTTAATGGTCGATTCGAGACTAAAGGGTGCAAGATTGAATTCTGTTTGTTGAGGGATACTATTCGAATTTGGAATGATGAAGCTCTCTAGTATAGAAATACCCATTGGAATTGACTTTTCTATCAATTAAGGTAAGGAAGATACTCTCGTTTAAAATCAGTTTATTCGAATTAAAGGAATTCGTTGAGGCTCTCAGTTGCTTTAAATTTACAAAACTTCTGACAAACACACTCAGTAGTTTGCATGTTTCAGAAAAGATACATAAGTATGTTACTGAATTCCTAAACATATGGCATCCTTTTCAGTCAGCTTCAAAATCTCAGCAATAGCGGAAGTAACTTTCCATTTTTATGTTTAACCTTTTCACTTAATACTTCACAAAATAGGAAGCAAAAAAAGCGATATTATAAAAAGGAGCCGGAAAAATCAACCGTAATTTGTATCCCATTATGTGTGAGGGTTAGAAACGAAAGGATATGAACTCCACACCAATTTGTAAACACTAAAAATTCAATTTTCCCTTTCTCGTCAGTTTGAAGTGTGCGTGGGGAGCGTGTTGGGTACTTCCGTTTACACTTCAGCCTCGGCAAACGTTGACGACGGTCGTTTACCTGAGGAGGTCATTTTGTTGGCCTGTTGGAGGCTGATGTAAGACAAGTGTTTGATGTTTAAGAGAAATAAAGAAACTATATGTTTATACATACTACGAGTATAAAACCAAATTCGTTGTCAGAAGGTTTTGGTGGAAAATTTGTATTGCTTTGTTGTAATAATACGTCATCGAAAGAGCTCTAATCTCTCTCTAATCTTGTTGTGAACTTTATCTGAAAAATAAAATAACTTGGCTGTGTTCCGAATGCATTTTATCTGTAAGTGCTGAGGTTTTTATTAGAAAAGATAACTTTGTATAGCTTCTAATATACTTGTACGAGTATGTAAGTATTGGCAACTACCAGCATTATTAATTCCAACGGAAGTTGTTCAAATGCATTCCCATATTACACAAATCTGCACAATCGATGGCACCTCACGCATACAAGTATCCTAGCCTGGTTTATTGACAAAGATACACTTGTTACCCGCACACAACCTGCCTGCCTGGTATCGGCGCACAATCAAAGCCGATGATTGGGTCGTGTGAAAAACCAATGGGAAAATGCAAGCGATTTGAATTTGCTGCACCAGGTAAGAAGGTAGACTGATGATCGCAGGCATAGCATTTGTATGGAAAAGGATGCTAAGCATTGGCATATTTAAAGTGATTTTGTGTGTGTGGGAGAGTTCCTGTTAAACGCGGCATGACTTCGTTCTTTGGTTTGTTTTGAAGGATTTGTCTATTGTCTGATATAGATACATATACATTTTGGGTTAAAATCGTATTCTGGTGTGGGAAAATAGACACATAAAATTATGTACATAATACCTACAATTTTGGCGAAATGTTTTGCAACTTAATTTGTAATTATAGTAATTATTTCATTTGAATGAAACGACGGGAAGAAGAGAGTAGTGAGGCAAAACCAGTTCTCACCCATTCACAGATGAGCCTTTTTAACTGACCTTCCAACAACCCTACTTTCTATAACAAGAGGATTCTTATTTTCTAACCCAAGAAACCTGTTTTGAAAACTGCGCATTTGGCAAAGTGGGCGGCCAATGTGAGCCCCCAAAGCTATTCACAAGGCCATTGCGCATTTGTTAAAAAAAAAAAAACAGGATTATGCATGATTTCAGCCTGGCCTGAGAATATTCATTCGTACCTCAAGTAACGCAACTCCAGCTTCGCCACAAAAATGTGAAAATTTTAATTAATTTACACAAATTTCAATGCCCCAAGAGATTCCCACAGATCCTGAAAAGAAACGAAATCAAAAGTAAAATAAAAGTGATAAACCGTAGCGGAATGCATGAGCAAGCCAAACGCAAAGGCAAACGAAACCACAGACAGCCAGCATCAAATCACAGCAAACACACGGACACACGGACACACAAAGGAAAAGGACGCCGAGGACAAGTGCAATGCAAACAGGCAGCCGAGCGGTGAGCTGCGAACAACAAACACAAAGCAAACAAGCACGATAAAGGATCTGAAGGATGTGTGGGAACAGGCGAACAAGTGCAACGGTATTTGAAAATGCAAAGGATAATAGCGCAGAAGGAAATGGAAATTATGATAATTCTTTTTTCTCACAGCAGATCGGGTAACAGCAGCCAACGTCGATATGATTGAGTGTGGGAAGTTGGAGGCCCGTCCCTTCCATTTACGCTACGTAGGCGTCGCCACCGATTTTGTGACGCTCGACAGCCACACGCAAGACAGCAGGACCCGAACAGAAGGGTACGAGTACGGCTGCTGTGCGGAAGTTATTACGGAAGTAAATAAGGGATCGGCTGAGCGTGTTCATCCATACTTGTATGAACTTTATTAAAACACATTTCTCTCTATCTACTCCACTTTCTCATCCAACTCTTCCGGCGCATAGCCAAACAGTTTCTTTAGCATATTATAGATAATCATTTGTCGCGTTACCTCCGCCTCGTACTTCATATAGTCGGCCAGCCGATTCTGCTTGTACAGCTGATCGAGCAGATCGAAAAGTTCGATTTCAAGACTGCGCATGCGTCCCTCCACCTCTGGCGTATGGGTGCCCGAAAACAGGGCCTGTATATAGACAGTGGAGATTTTCTGCAATGCCGAGTCCAGTTCGTTTAACATGACATCCTTTGGATCGTGCACAAACTTCACTGGCCCCGTCAGCTTGGGTGAGACCCTATATTTGTGCAATTCCAACTGCTGTTCGGTGATGTGTTCTATACAGGCGGCCAGTGGCAACAGATATACCAGAGCACAAGCTAACAGGCAGGGACTTTTGACTAGATGCATGGCGAATACTTTACGGACGCGCCTTCTCTCTCTAGATCAATGCGTGCTCTTTGGTGTTGCAATTACTTTCGTATGATCAGCGCTATAGTGGCTGACAGCTTATATAGGTTGCGTTTGGGGCTGAGTAAGGGGGTAATCAGTTTATTTGATCATTGCGAAAAATATATACACACATACTATATGTAGATGCTATTAATGTTATGCGTGAGCCTCAGGGTCATTTCCGTAGCGCAATTTTTATTATCGCCATCGTTGAAAATACATTTCCGCTCGTTGGTTCAGGTATGTTTTTGGGTCAAGATCAGCTTAAGTTACGGAAAGTTCTGACAAACACACACAGCTAGTTGCTTAGTCTTTCATGCCTATGCGATCCGAGAAACATTTATATAATAAGCTGAAGAACATATAAATTCAATATTGATTTAATATACATATCTGGTTCAGATAACTGAATTAAAAGCTTAATTAACATACCAGAATTGTATTGTCCTTATTAGATCTGACAATTAGAAATGCGTATAACTTGGAGAGATTCTTCTTTAATGAATATGCGAAATATTTGGACACATTAAAAAATTAATATATTTTTTATATAGTTCTGCGTTTTATGGATTGTTTAGAATCATGAAAGTGAGTTCGTTTCTCAATAGGCACTTGGTTCGAAACACGGCCACACTATCATCGCATAAAGCATGATTTAAAAAATTACTTGTACTTGCACTCTTAAAATTCTATTAGATTAGCCACTTATATAAAAAATGTTGAAATGTCGTGTTGTGGTCAAAGATGTAGGCCGATTCGTAACAAATATACAAATGAAAACATTTTAAAATTCTCCTAATATCACAGAAATATATTAAATGCTGGAATAACTGATATTCCAGTACTGCTATGTATATATCACTATTAATAGAGAATGAAACGTGACGGTTAATATTTTTAAATCACTTGGTGCAAAAAAATGTATTTGCGAAAATAAATGTGATTATATTTGTAAAGCAGGATAAAAATCAATTAAGCTATATCGCTATTAATAGAGAATGAATAATACTTATTTAGCCATTCACCGAATATTTATAAAGCACTTGCTGCAAACAAAATTTATTTGCGAATTAATAATCACATTTTTTAACCACGATAAAAATCAAACAAGCTTCGGTCGTCTTTTGAGGCTCTGATTGTCCCATTTCATTTTCAGATTTCTACTCGTAGCTATTAATTTTCGAATTGATTAAAATCTTGGATCCATTAACCCATTAAAGCTGAAATAATCGACATAATTTTGCGCTTGTTTCGAAGCAATTTTATTTTCACTCTCTGCTCATAAGAATTGCAGCATGGGCATCTACAACTATATAGCTAAATAAGACATAGGTTATACGGTTCAAAAACATGAAAAACTTAACACTAAAACATTTTACACAAATGCTACATAACTTAGTTATAAAACCTTTTAAGAATTGTACAATATTCAGAGAAAAACAGACAAACATGTTTTTGGAGAATAATTTCTGTAGTCATTACAATCAAGTATAGGATATAATAAAATGTTTACTTAAAAAATATAAGAATTATACAAATAATTACACAAAATACACACAAAAATCACAGCTGAACTTAAAAACAGATTGAATAAAGATGAAAAGGAAAAACTTAATGGGGCTAAAGCGCATAATGATCAATGACGTTGACGTAAATAAATTAACAAAAATAATTAACTCGTGACGAAAAACTTAACTTTTGGGGGCATTTTAAAGGAGTTGAAGGTGGAAATATTTAGAGATGGCAAACATGGCTTTAAGTATTATGGATTGTGGTGTTCACCAAGGACGCCAGGCAGATGTTGATTTCTCCAATGCGGCGGCGGCCAAAAATTTCTTTGCCGATGGTTCGTCCAACGAACAATCGCTAGAATCTGCCTGTTCCCGCTGCTCCACCGCCAATGGAGTTTCGGCATCCGCTTCGCGCTCCCGTTTGCCGGTGCTCTCATGGCCACTGGTCGAGGTAACTTGCTGCTGTTGCAAGTGAACCGCAGTGCCCGAGATGGAGAGACCCAGACTGGAGTTGTGCGAGCCACTGCTGGTGTTTAGGGAGCCGCTGGAGTTGAACGAGGTTTCAGCGCTGGTGGGCGGCGGGGTCGAGAAGACGCCCGCAAAACTGTGAACTGCAGAGCCCACCAACGGCTGCTGTGCCGCCGGCGAGGCAGCACGCGACTCATCTCCATGACTAGAAATCGATGAGATAGGACTCAGCGGCGGGCTATTTGTTGCCTTCGTATTCTGCTGCATCAGCTGGGTTTGTCCATTGGTGGCTCCCAGGCCCGCTGCCGGCTTGCTGAAGGCGCTCAGTCGAAAGCTTTGGGCATAGTCGCTCAGATGCGTTGGATTGGCAATGCTGGCCAAGGCGGCGCTGGCCACATTGCTGGCGGCCGTTGCTCCCGGCCAGACAAAGGGGGCATGCGCATTCGCATTTGTTGGCGGCAATCCATTCCCAGTGCTGGCCGCACTATTGGGCATGATGAGCGCAAACTCGCCCGAGGGCAGACGCGAGGGTATCAATTGCAGGCCACCCATTTGTATGGCCGGCGTGGCTGCAAGATTCTCACGACCATTGCCGCAATTGTTGCTGTTGGTGTTGTTGTTGTTGTTGTTCAGATCTTGTGGCAATTGAGCGAAGAGCGGTGCGGCCGTCGCATTGGGAAACAATGTGGGCATTTGGCCACGATAGCCATTATTGAAATTGCTCATGGAACCGATTTGCTCCAAACTATTCGCACATTGACTCAAATGGGCGGTCAAGCGCTGACGCACTTGCGCATCGATGCCATCCAGTTGGCTCACATAGCGATTGACCTCCTCGGCGCATTCTACAAAGCCCGTCTTGAACTTGTGCACCACACTCGGATCGGTCTGGAGGGCCATGTTCAGCTGTTGGCGTTGCACAGACTGCAAATGCTTCACCGTCATCTCAAGTATGTCGGCCTTTTCGAGCTTCGTGTGACGCGCCGGCTGCAGGGAAGAGAGGAAGAGAGAAGCGGAAAAGGGGCGAGATTAATGATGAGTTTGGTGCCGCGCTCAAGAAGCCGCCTAACATTTTCGTTTAACGTGGCTAATTGTTTTGCAATTTGCTGCCCAGTAGCCTGAGCCTGAGCCTGAGCCCGAGCCCTATAACAAGTTTAAGTCAGCCAGCAGCATGGGAAATACAGAAAAACAGAGACGCAACAAGTGGCCGAGGCAAACGGCACGTTTCGTGCCTCATATGTCTAACTATTTGTTCTGATCTTGCACTGCCTTGCCCCACCGGACGATTGCTGGGTCTTCAATGTCCAGCCTGCGAATATCACACGCTCGCTAGTTGGCCACTGTATGAGACACGTGAAGGTGTGCAAGAAGCCGACGCTCGCTGCGCCTTCGTCTGCCTTCTCAGTCAGTCAGTCAGTCAGTCGGTCTGTCAGTCGGTCTGTCTGTCTGTCTGTGGATGGGACGGACTGCTGCATATTTTGCAAAAGTTTCCCACGCAGGTCGCTGGCAGCTCGCAGCTTACCACTCGTCTCTGTTCTCCTCTTGCCTTGTCTGCTTCTTTTGTTTACTTTTGCTTTTTCTTCAATGTCTTTCTTATTTGATTTTTTGGTCGACTCGCTCCTAAAGAATCTGCAACACCGGCGTCGTCGTTCAGTTGCTGCTGCCGCTGCTGCTGAGATTTTTTATGTATTTTCTCACAGCAGGATCTCCAATGCGGCTCCTGTGACCACCGCCGCCGCCGCCGCCGCCACCATTACCACAGAACAGGTTTTTTGTTCAGCCCAAGATTTCTGCGTAATTCTTCGACTTGTTAACACTTTTGGTCTGACTGAGCTGCCCCGTCTGTCGCTTGTCGTCTGTTGCCTGTCTCGTCTGTCGATATCGGCGCTCTCTTGTAATGATCATCAATATAATTTAATACTCAATTAAATTGTTGCCATTTTTCTCTGTCTCTGTGTGCGCCTGTGTAGGAGTTTTAAGTGTCCTTTTGTACTTTTGCCGACCAACCCCGAACACTTGATATTTGTGATCTAACCTTTTATGCATTTTATGACTTCATTTTATAAGGAAACTAAACTGATCCTAACTGATGCGGCAATTTATGAGTAAAAACTTTCTGTTTTGTTAGGGCTCTACTTACGTCTTTCTTCATTGCCTCCAGTATCAGGGACTTGAGCTCGTTGAGGCAATGATTAATGCGAGCTCGTCGACGTTTTTCCATGATGGGTTTGTTTGTCTGAAAAATAAATCGAAAAATTAGAATAATATTTTCGAAATAAAACCATTAATATACTTTCTAAATTAAAGCGCGAAAAGTTTGCCGCTTCCCCAAATTTGTGCTCAACGATAATATTACATTTTATTTGAACATGTTTATTGACAGTCAAGACAATAAAAAAGAACAGCAATTGAATTTTTAAACTGATCTTGAAGATTGATAACAATTTGAAATTGAATTTTAATGCAATTTCTAACCAGCTTTGTGACCGTATTTTTAATTCATTTCTAACAACATCGATGCAAATACTTATGACAATATAATTTATTCATAAAAAAATCCTAATAAAAATATATATTTTAATTCTTGTTAAATGGCCTTCTCGCTGATCCAGAAAATGACAGAAATTCGTAAAATCAATTGCATCCACAGTTGGAATTCAAAGAAATAATTTGGCATCCATATCTGGGATTGGGTTTTTTTTTTGTTGCTTACCTTTCTCAGCTCCGCTTTGGACATGCCGTTTGGATTGGCCGAACGGCCGTTGCTGCCATAGCTTTCACTATATCCATTGGAGCAGTCGAAATCATCATCCGAATTAATATCGTGTTTGTAATCCATACTTAATCCAAATAAAGGGTAATAATCCAAATACTTTGAAGATACTTTGCACAATGTTCTTAAAATATTTTACAATATTTTTTTGTAATAAACACAACACGTAATATTTTGGCTTTAGTGCGATATCGAAATAAAAATGTCAACAACTATTGCACGTAGTTAATGTTGCAATAATATTTTAAAAAGTAATGTCTTTGCGGGAAACACTTAACGAGATTTCGCGTTCGAGTTCATGAGCCGCTTTTTCAGGCACACAACCGCGCACACGAGACGCCAAAAGGATACTGATCCTCGTCAATGCAATGCGCTGACTAAAAACGACATGCGGCGAAGGCAAAACGAGTCCGGCGACGGTGGCGGCATTTACCTGGCCTGGGCAGCAAAGGCGACAGCGCATGCGCAGGTAGGCGCCCAAGAGCGACGACAGATCGAGTCGAGCGAACGTTTGCATTTGGGGTGGTTTCGTATCACATTCGTGTATGTGGACGGCGGGCAAAGCCGACCAACGAGAGATATCAGCACGCTAGAATTTAACTCAATTTCGAGTGAGTTTTCGAACTTGTTCAGAGTTGCCGAGGCGACAGAGGAATTTACTATTTTGAACGTAATCGCAACTACTAGATATGACTACGACATACTTAAACCAAGACTCGATAGTCTCAACTAATTTCCAGCAAAATATTTACTTGAAAACGAATTAAATTGGCTAAGCCAGTCTTCTCAACAAAAGTCAGTCAGTAATTTTACTTACAAATAACATACTCGTATCTTAAACAGACAGCTGTCCTATCAAGCCTACAATATACAGTATGCAACCCCTGAAGTTTATTCAATGTCCTGCATATGAGTTTTGCAATTCATTAAATCTCTTCTTGACAACACAAACAGCGAGGAGGTCGAGATTGTCTTGCGCCTGACAGCTGTCCTCAGCACAACCCCCTAAGACATTTCTACCTTCTTAGCAGACCAGGGGGTTGCTCGGCTGTATACGCACGGGTCAATCATTAGACGAGCTTACCTGACTTGCCATTTTTGCGATCCGATCCGATCCGATCCCGATTTTCCCCATGCACGCAACACACACGCTTGAATCTAATTTATTACTTTACAATGTTGGCAGGATTAAGGCGCAAAATTTGGTAATGGCAGCCAGCTTTAGACCAAGTACGCAGCTGACAGCTGCCATTGGGCTTGGTTGCCCAGAATTTATGATGTGGCCATCATAAAAATGTTGTGCACGCGTTCGCTTTCGGCGAATAGCTGACAACCCTGTTATGCAAAGAAATGCACTCAGTGCCGATTACTATATTCTCAGAGAGCATTCGAATTGAGTTGAGTGGTCTGAGTTGTAAATATTTTTGAGTTGGAGGATTCTGCATAGCCCTTTATAAAATGCAATATAGTAAGTGAATTTATACATAAATATTCTTGGAGGGCATTACATTTATTTAGTGAAGGTTTTTATTTGAACGATCACAAATAAATACATTTGTATTTTAATTCTTAGCCTTAGCCTGCTCCTTTGAGAACCTCTAGCGAGAACTTGAAAAGCTTCAACAACACGAAGAGTGCAATGGTCTACGATCAAAGGAGTTGGTGATTGAAATCCTCGAAGAGAATCCATGGTTCGAAATTTGTAGATATTACAAGTATAATGAAGGTTATGAGAAGAGAAATTGCGGGATATATAACCAAGTTTTTTACTGAGTTTTGAAAGAGTGATTAGCATTTTAAAAATATGAAAAGACTGTGGCATTATTCCAAATCCATATCCAAATTATCACATTAATATTCTGAAATGCAGGTTGGAAATGTTTCATGATGGACACTTATTTTTGAATCCTGACGGAGTCAATAAGGAACAAGACACAACATTTAAACTGACTTAATACACGCTGGTTAATTGTAGAGAAAATTTAAAAGAAGTTGCTTTTTACTTTATTGAGCAACTATTTTTTAATACCACTGGTTATTCTATTTACCAATTTAAGTTAAACACGTATGTTATTATAATGATTCTGTATAAATGGCATCTTGTGCGGTTTTCCACTGCTGCTATAATTTTTAAAGTGTGTACCTTCCAGCTCTGAATGTTCCAATTTGATTGCGTTTTCCCACGTTTCTGTCAGAAATCACAATAAAAGCCATGAATTGGCAACGCATCACACATATGGATATGATCATTATCATCAGTTCGCCATTATCGTCATCGTTATGGGGCAGACTGGCTGGACTGATCGCCTCAGAGTCTCTCTTTCTCTCTGACGGCAAAACGTGCCAATCGACGGCAAACAAAAAGTCACACACTCTCGAACGCTTCGTGAAGAAAAAACGCCAAACTGAAAATGAAATTCTATAATAAAAGTGCAAAATGTTGAAGTTCAATATCAGACAGCCGGTCAGTCAGTCAGTCAGTCAGTCAGGCAAGTCAGCCAAGTTAGCCGAGTAAGCGTCCAGTTGATTTGGCTTCCATTCTGCTTCATACGGCTTGGGATCAAGGTAAATGGCGTTTAGTGTGGCACGATCGGCTACAGTAGCCGACGACGCATGCTTGGGGCTTCCTTGTGCATTATTTTTAGGCGCAGTATTTTCGCTCTGCTCTTGCTGTTTTTTATATACGAAAACGCACGATTTACACATTAAAACACTTTAATTTTTATTGCACAGCCGGTCGGGCGATCTGACGATTGCTTCCCTTTCGTAATCAACTCGCTAAGGTAGCACACACACACACACTCTCGTATGTGAGACCTTTCTCAACCTCAAATTAGTGCCTCCTCGAGTATTTTTAGTTAAGCAACTAAAATCCTGTGGGAACTTTGCATTTACTACCCACAGCCATACATACATGTCTAGGGGGGAGGGAGTATGTGAGGCTTGTCGTGCCGCCCCTCCAAAGTGAAAATAATGAGCATTAAAAATATGAAACGGTAGCAAATGTGTGAAGAGGCTTCGTTGAAGGCTGTAGTAGGAGTGGCTTTGGATAGATTTGGGCTGACTGGAACGCATGATATATGTTGATTTAAATGAATTTTCTGGTTGATTTTTATGGCGCTTAGTTCTTGAAGTGTGCGTTTTATACTTGGGGGGAAATGAAGAGTGTCGTGTGTGTGTAGAAAAGATACCTTGACAGGTCTGTGGATTTTAGAAATATTTTATTTTTATGAATTTGATAAATGTCCAGGAAAGTGAATGTGGAGGTGGGGCATCAACATTACAAGACGAAGTTGTGTCTTTTTTCACAGCTCTAAGCCCTTTTATAAAACGAGTGTTTCAAACATTAACAAAGGCATTCTATTTGTGTGTATGCGTTATCAACTAATAAAAATTATTGAAATATGTATAACTCAAACGTTTTTTTGTGTAAGCGAGACATTATTATATAATTTTTATTTATAGTACATTTGTTTAAAAATATTTTTAGGATCAAGAACGATTCGATGTACACTTAGCTTTGAAGATTCATATGAAATAGAGACACGATAGGCTAGGCTCGTCCGGTGGAGGTTCATTGGCAAGCCCATATAGACACAAATTGGTGTTAAGAGCGCTCTATTGATCCCTCAGCATCCTGCAGTGGGAGTATGGAAGATAGTGAGGAGAAGCCACCGACAACATACTAGTAAAAATATTATGATCAAAATAAAAAAAGATATTATGCAATATTTACACATTGACGAGCAGCGATCCAAAATGTAAATATTTCCTTTAAAGTAACGCATTAACACAAATAATTCCTTAAAAATAGTTCGAACCATGGTTTAAGATTTTTAACTGCATTCGGTCTTGGTTCGTTTTAGTTAGTTTGGAGTTTTTCACAATAGGCCCAAATGAGAACCCCGCATATGTAACGGTCAGGACAGGGAATCAGCTGCTTTGCCAAAGGGACTTCAATGACATTAGAAACTCAAACTCGTGCCATGAGCCAAAAGACACAACAAAAGTTGGTGTACAGCTGCCGCTCAAACAAACAATGGCCTTGTCCCAGTCACGGCGCTAAGACTGAACTGACTTCTTGGGTACGTGCGGCGTTTTTGTGCGCCTTAATTGCTGCCTCTGGCTGCCACATCTTACATAATCAAAGAGATGGACCCTGGACCTAAGGAGCTACAAATGGGCCGAACGAAGCGTGCCTGATTCGACACAGCTGCCAATGAAGGGTTGTCTAAGTCATATGGTGGCATAGGATTAAACGCATGCGCATTTAGTTTGCTTAAAAGATTTGTGGTCTAGGGAAAAGTACAGTTTCAGTTCCTGAATAAATCCTGCTGCAAGCAACTGTGACTGAGCGCATATCAATTCATAAAAATAAAAATAATTCCTATGCATGAGGTTCAATTCCGATATATACATACATACATAAATGAATATACATATATGCATGTGTTTGTGTAGCTAAAATTAAGCAGAAGTCGAAGTCGTTGTGAGAAAAAAACTTTCTCACGATCACCTATGTGTGTATGGACGACGAGTAAAAATCCACGTGCAAAAGGGGGAAGCGAACCACGAACCACCAACCACCACCATCGCCTTCACCTAAAGTACAAAAAGTGACAGCGACAACTGCGGAAGGAAGCAAGAAGTGCGACACGCAGGCGGAGTAGGACGCAGGACAAAGCTGGTGGTGGTTGGCGGCCCCCTCCCTGCCTGCCTGAAGTGGCCACGGCATGCATGAGAATTTAAATTACAAACAAACATCGCGCACAACCGTTGTTCTTTGTTTGTATGTATAGCACATATATGTACATACATACATACTCGTATGTCGAAATGTATCGGCATGCAAGGGCCTAAGGCGAAGGCGCAGGCGCAGGCGCAAAGGACAACTGGCGGCTTTGTGTGTGGGAACTTTAGCGAGGACGAGGACCGCTCGAGCATGAAGAGGGCGGTAATTATTGGACCCAGGTTAAATACAAGCTAATGTGCTACATTCCCACAATTGTGTTTGGATTGCGATGAATCGTCGTTTTAATTTTTCAAAATTTCCATCTGATAAATTAAGATGACACGACGCACCCACATGCTCTGTATTTTGCTTTAAGGCATCAGAATTCGTGGTACTGCTATCCAGAAATGCCAATTCTCGAGTGGCAGAAAAAGCAATTAAAACAAGCTAGAAAAAGCTAAACAAATTGTGATGCATTAAATATAATAATGCTTATTATATGTATGTATGAAATTTGGAAACCAAATATTCATAAGCAAAAGTAATGTATGTACACCTAATTCTGTTTTTACACGATCTTTTTGTACACGATATTGATATAACCCTGTTTGAAATTTAACAATTTCTTATATACATACTATACATACATATGTAAATATACATATTTTATTAGAGTTGAGGAACCAATCACATATTTTTCCATATGATCAATGTCTTTTTTACACGGTTGTTTCTGGAACCAAACTAAACCGTAAAAAAAAACAGAACTATGTGTATATATGTATGTATGAATACATGTACATAAGGAAGTAAACCCCTCCTTTTTTGGGCTACAAGTTATGCTTCCACATATAACTTAAAACCTTAATATGTGTTAAAAGGGGGGCCAATATTACAAACCAATAGCGTTAATCAAGTTATTGCATATTAATTAATATCCACATAAAATTACACTATTTTCGCTAGCAACATTCAACACCTTCAGAACTGGCGGGAAAATGGTTAAATTGCGAATATACTGCGTGATACTCGTATCTACAAAGTATGAGGCCGTTCTCAGCTCTCTTGCAAATACACTAATCCAAAATAAGCTTACTATTTGGCGCTCTCACAACCGCGCTCGTACTCATGCGCAAAACAATTTTTGGCAAAAACAACAAAACAAAGCGTTGATACGAAGTCGTCAAGAGCAGTTAATTAGAATTTTGAAACCAAAATAACTCAAATGCGAGCACACACAAAAAGTGCATACAAATGCAAGTGCTATTTTTAAATGCAAATATATGTATGCATTTCTATCATATACATATATACATACTTATACAAATGATAAGGAAATTGTGCAGTGATAAATCTGCCGGAGGAAAGAAACACAGAGCTGCCAGCTAAAATGCTCCTTGGGAATTGCTTTTCACAATTTTGTATTGTATGGGGAAATTTTAGTGCTGGCAGTGCCATTTATGCAGCGGGCTACCAACTGGCGCTGCTAACCTGATCGAATGTTTCAAATGCTCACATATGTGTTTATTTTATACTAAAACGCGGTGAATAACTGACAAGATAACAATGTAAATTATTTGTAATCTTTTTTAAAAATTGTTTAAAATGCACACAGTTTCTGTTTCATTGCGACGATTTCCTCTATTAAATGACACACATTTGCAAGTAAACGTGTTGGCAAGCCTATTTCGTGCAATATGACCGTGTGTGCGTGAGTATTACTCATGTTGGCTTACGCTCTATGCTGGCGCATGTGTATGTGTGTGTCTGGCGCATTTTATCTCTTTCATGCTTGTGGCCAGCATGCGCTCTCATTGCAGAAGCAGTCGCTTGTCTTTCGCTCACTCAAACGCACGTTGGTGGCGTACTTATTATTTTTGCTTTCCAAGTCGTTGCTGCGAGTAAGAAGAAGCAGCAGCACAGTGCAGAAGTTGTGTGTGTGTTGTAAAAGAAGAGCTGTTGTTGACACCGAAAACTGGCACAGAAACGAAAAAAAATCAAAAGGCAAAGCAAAAAACTAGGCGTGACAAATCCGTGCAACAAACGAAACGAAAAACTAAAAAGCCAAGCGCACAATTTTTAATTAGTGTTTAAGCGCAAAAGTGAATAACACGGCATACACACATATACATACATTAAAGAAAATAAGTGAGCAGTAGCGCCCAGGCGGCCATTCTCAAATGAATAGTCCTCGCACAAACGCGGTCAATGGCGGCAGCGGCTGCGGCGCCATTGCAGCGCTGCCCAGCTCACTGGCACAATTGTCATTGAGAGAAAAGCAGCAGGCGGCGGCGGCAGCAGCGGGGGCGGTCACTACCAATGGAAGCGCTAGTGGTGACACTCCCACTCCACGCCCTCTGCATCCACCACAAACGCAGCCACCCAGTGTGCCCATATCAGCGTCACCATCAGTGGCAGCGGCTGCAGCGGCAATGAGCAAATTGCAGATGTCCGAGGGCAGCGCTGGATTAGCGACGACGCAGGCATCGACAAATGGTGATTCCAATAAACTAACGCACGATTTGCATGAAAAGGAAGGAGCGCAGAAGCCACAGAAGCCACCGTTGCCAGTGCGTCAGAAACCTATGGAGATCGCTGGCTACGTAGGCTTTGCCAATCTACCTAATCAGGTCTATCGCAAGGCAGTGAAGCGCGGCTTCGAGTTCACATTGATGGTTGTGGGTGCCAGTGGTTTGGGCAAATCAACGCTTATCAATTCCATGTTTCTGTCAGACATCTATAATGCGGAGCAGTATCCGGGACCGTCGCTGCGCAAGAAGAAAACTGTCGCAGTGGAGGCCACCAAGGTCATGCTCAAAGAGAATGGCGTTAACTTGACGCTAACGGTGGTGGACACGCCAGGGTTTGGAGATGCCGTCGATAACAGCAATTGTTGGGTGCCCATTCTGGAGTATGTGGACAGCAAGTACGAGGAGTATTTGACAGCGGAATCGCGTGTCTATCGTAAGTCGATATCGGATAATCGTGTGCATTGCTGCCTGTACTTTATTGGACCATCGGGTCATGGGCTGCTCCCACTGGACATTGCCTGCATGCAAAGCCTTTCGGATAAAGTGAATTTGGTGCCAGTTATAGCTAAGGCAGACACCATGACACCAGACGAGGTGCATCTGTTCAAGAAGCAGATACTCAACGAGATTGCTCAGCACAAGATCAAGATCTATGATTTCCCTGCCACGCTTGAGGATGCGGCCGAAGAATCGAAGGCAACCCAAAATTTACGAAATCGTGTGCCATTCGCCGTTGTGGGCGCCAACACCATTATCGAACAGGATGGGAAGAAGGTGCGTGGACGACGCTATCCCTGGGGTCTTGTCGAGGTGGAGAATCTAACTCATTGTGATTTCATAGCGTTGCGCAATATGGTCATACGTACACACCTGCAGGACCTCAAGGATGTCACCAACAATGTGCACTATGAGAATTATCGCTGTCGCAAGCTATCAGAGCTGGGTCTGGTCGATGGTAAGGCGCGGCTGTCCAACAAGAATCCGCTTACCCAAATGGAGGAGGAGAAGCGCGAGCATGAGCAGAAGATGAAGAAAATGGAGGCGGAAATGGAGCAGGTGTTTGACATGAAGGTCAAGGAGAAGATGCAAAAGCTCAAGGACTCCGAACTGGAGCTGGCACGCAGGCACGAGGAGCGCAAGAAGGCGTTAGAGCTGCAAATACGTGAACTGGAAGAGAAGCGGCGTGAGTTCGAGCGCGAGAAAAAGGAATGGGAGGACATGAATCATGTGACGCTCGAGGAGCTGAAGAGGCGCAGTCTCGGCGCCAATAGCAGTTCCGACAACGTGGATGGCAAGAAGGAAAAGAAGAAGAAGGGTCTGTTCTAAGTCAAGGCTCTAGCCTAGAGTGACAATAGTCCTCCTCCTCCACCTCCTTCCTTCCTCCCTTCGTTCCTTCCTTCGCCTACTTAACAAATCCAACATACTTAAGCGCTAATCTCGAGCAAACACACGCATTATTTATCATATATAGCGGTACATTTGGTCGCGCTTAATGTCACGGCTTGGCAAAACCACATACACACACACACACTCACACTCTGATACACCCACACATACAAACACTCAGCAGACGCCACGCGCATTTGCATTTGTTTTTACATTTAAAAGTTAATTATTGCAGTATTTTATCAAAACTATTTAAAAACGCATCAAACAGTTAAAAGAAATACAAGTAACTAACAGTTAATTTAAAAAACAAGAAAGAAACGTAACACTTGACGATACATTTTTGCTAGCATAAATGAGAATTGAAACGAAACCTAAATTGTATTTAAAAAATACCTTAATATCTAGCATATGCATATATAACTTTAACAACAAGAAAGAAAAGAAAACTTTAACACGTAAAAACAAAACGTAAGCAACAAGAAATTGAAATCCTAAAATTTAATTATACATACTATACAATTTATCATTATACCATTATATATACATACATAAATGCATATATATAAATATAAAATAACGTGCTATATGTATTTACTTATTATGCATAAAGTAAAGTAACAACAAAAAGCAACAACCAACCAACAGCAACAAAATATACTCTTGCATTTTAAAATAAAGTCTTCTTTTTAGTTTAACTACAAAAGCCATTCTTTCTTCTTCTGTTATGTATGCCCCGAGCGTTTGCTTTGCTGCACACATACAGGGTGCCGCCCTTGGGGCACGTGTCAGCGTCAATTAGCACAGTGACGCTTCGTTTGAGAATTCCTTTCACCTTACAGCACCGTCTAATTTGTTGAACAAACACAGACCCAAACAATCTCATCGAATTCAATTGAAAAGTGAATGACGCGGCTTGGTGCTTGCATCATTCCTAATTGTTAACGGCTTTAACTTAATCACAATTAATGGGTTTTCATCAATCACATGCATTACAGCTAAACTCCACTTAAAACATTTTATTTGAAGAAAATTTTTTTGTTTTTTGTATTCCGCAGCTATCTTCAACAAAGTTCAACATATTTGGAACCAAACACGCGAATTTTAAAACCATTGTTTAGGAATAACTAAATTTATACTTGTGATTAAGGTTTTTTCAAAAATACTTTTTATTTTCTTGAAATGTTAAACCATTTTTTTTTTTAAATCGAACGATTTATTAACAATAGAATGCTTCTTAGTGTTCTTATAATTTCTAAAGCTTACTATGCCATTTGTTTTTAGATTTTTTAACAAAGATGAAATAGGACTGAATTATTTATGTTTACATTTTTGCAATTATGGTTCAATTAAGAATCCAATAAAAAACTAGTTTAAATTTTAAGATGTTTACTTATTCTTATGCTAGTGCTACAAGCGATGCTTATATGATTCGGAACTAGATTTTAAATATCTGCATTGAAGATAGCGATAGTACACTTTACGTGCTTAATAAATTACTATAAATCGAATTTCAAGATATACGAGTATATGTATATTGAGACAAAAGGTAATATTTATTCTTGTCAGTGGCTTATAATTCTAAAATGGTGACCATTAATTTAGTTCTGATCACACATGTGAATAAAGGTCTTACAATATATCCATCAAATATGAGGAATGGTGTTTTAAGTAGGATTTAGAATTTTTCCTTTTTCGAAATCGGTTTGGCTTCATTGAAAAGTAAAAAGTGAATTTGAGGGTTCCACTAATTCCACTCCTCGAAAATGCAAAAACACGTAAGGTGTTTAAAAAGTTTTTTTTTATAGCTGGAGTACTTAAACTTTGTTTATATAATACTAGTCCGCCTTGCGAATTGACGCATGATAAATTTGATGTCTGTTTGCTATGCTGTTCAGCTAAACATCGTAAAAGTTTAAAGCTTGCTTAATAGCGTTAGCTTAGAGTGCGGTGGGTGAATTATATTAATTTTCAAGAATTTATATATATTCAGGCACATATTCCGAACGGAAAGCATGATGAAGGGGAGAATCCTCCCGGAGTTTTTAAGGGCTCCATTTTTTAGGATTTCATTTCGAATAGGGGCAAAAATGCTTTCCATAGACTGCTCTGCAATGTACTCGCATAGTATAGCGTATTACAATTGCACAACATCTCTAATTTCAGCCACAGTGCTAAAGTTCATCGCGCCTTAAATTGCGCCGACATTTGTTCCTACACCCATATTTGTATATGCGCTACGAAATGCAAAAAAGTTTCATATGACCGAACCGTCACCACACCCTATATGCAATGTGCATTTATTTATGTACATGTAGCATGCATGTATGTATGTACATATGTACATGCAAGCCCCACTTAAAATTGCTTTCTAAATGGCCGGCACAGACAGCCATGGGTATTTAATTTATGCATAAAAATTAATCCATAACCCAATTGAAAGGCACTCAATTAATGCCGTAAAAGCGTAAAAAGAAAACTCAGCAGTGAAAGACAGACACATGTCCATACATACATACATACATAGCAAACATATGTACGAGTATGTACATGTGTATGTGTGTGCACATTCATATGGAGCAAGAGCGTCGTTTGGCAAAAGCGCTAGAGGTGTGGGGGCGATGCGGAGTATGTGTGTGTGCATGTGTATGTATGTAAGTCAACAATGTTGACGCAGCACTTAACCGAAGCCGCAATTGTTGTTGGTACGGCCGACGCGTAGCGATCAATGAACGCCACAAAGCAGCAGTGAAGTTTTATAGTGATGTGTTGTTTTTAGGACGATGACTCAAATACACAAGCACTTACATACATACATATGTATGTATGTGTACATATACTATATAGAACATCCATATGTATGTGTATGTATGCATACAGTATGGCATGTATTGGTTGAAATGAGAGTACGCGACTCTTGAGTTTACTTTACCAAGCTTATCAGCTTAAATGCTAGCGTTGTTAATGCACAAAATCAACAACATTTTGATTGCCTTGACATCGTCAATTGATACGCGCAGGAACTTCATCTACAAGGCACCCTGTAATGTCACATGCATAACATATGGGATCCACTGTTAAGACCCAATGGGGGTATTCCTGCAACTGATTTTGATTTATAATAGATTAATTTGATGCAAATCTAATTTTAATAAGTGTAAAAAGCTTGCTTGTTTTAAGAGCAGCTGACTCACATACAAATAATACAAATATTAATAATATCTTGATGCTTATTAATAACTCTGTACCACACCACATGCATCACAGATGGCGGTTTAAGCTTGCCCTGTTAACAGACACCCTGTAGTGTTTGTTTTGTTTGCGCTACATTCTTGCACGTCAAATCACTCGAAACGTACATACGTATGTACATATGTAGCTCTTACATTAAAAACAAATGTTGGCCATTCTTCTAACACCCATACACATGCATACACGAATATTGTGGAGAGCGCAAGAGTGGACGCTCTCACCCACACAGACATGACTGCAATCTTCAAATGGTCACCGCTGTTGACATACATACTCATGTATGTATGTGCATAGTTACGTGAGCAGAGTGGGAGAGTACGAGACGTTTTTTGAGCGCAAATATGGTGAGAGAGCGGGCGCAAGTGGCTTGGCCAATTGATTTTGTTGTGTTTTGTTTTTGTTGCGCAGCCGCGCAATCGCCGCTTTAAATGAGCTCAGTGTTCAATTGCGCTGGCGAGAGCCCGACTTTTATTTGAATTTCCGCTTCAAATTTCTTTGGCTTCGACTTGCAACTGTCGTAGCCCCAAAATGGAATGACACCCAGGCTGACATTTGACATTTTTTCCCGCCGCAACGGGAAGTGATTTTTATAGGTTTGTTTGTTTGTTTGTTCGTCTCATGCCTCATTACGTTGCCTTCGTCGTCTTCGCTGCTTGCGTCTCGTAACGGCAACGTCAATGTCAGCAGTAGATAAGGGCGCCAAGCATACTCGTACACTCAGTTTGAAAAATATGCGAACTATGCATATGCAACTCAGACCAACTGAAACTATTTCAGTTTCCTTAGAAATAGTGCTTGCTGGTTTGTAAGCATACTTCTTCTAGCGAGGGTACATTTTTTTCCTCTATATACATATACATAGAAGTATTTATGGGTATAGGCATCCTAAGTATTGATGTGTATTTTATGATAGCTCATACATATATTCTCATTTGGTTTATTTACAAACAAAGAAATTAGATCGTGCGGGCCTATCAGTCAGTTTATAAAATACTTGTGTGGGAAACTTTTGAGATAGCAGAGGGAATTGCGTTCGAACATCTTGTTTACAACTGGTAGTAGACTTTGCTACAATTGCTTTTGATAAACTGCAAGCACAAATATGTATATGTACACACACACACACATTTATGAACATACTCGTGTGCAGTAAAGATAAATATACATACATACATACATACACATAAATAGATCGTAAATGATCGGTGCTGTGAATTTGTTGTGGGTCAAGTAAATAGGACACTTGTTAAAATTGACACATTCCTTGGGCTTGTGTTTTATTTGTTTGTATTTATTGTAGTGCCAATCTATTGGGGAAGGCGCTTAGCTATGTGGTCCTGGCAAGCACATACATACAAATGTAGATGCAGACATTCCCTTGCTGAATACGGAAGTGACAGGCTCTGCTTCCGCTTTTGTCCTGCCTTTCTCCTCTCAGTATTTGCAAATAATAGATCCGACCCATAGCGGTAATTTACGCGCAGTCTCACACAATCCATGTCACTTCGATACTCTCTTGTTCGTCCTGTTTTGATTTCCGCTTCGCATGCGCACGAAGCGTGCATAACATCCGCTTAAGAGACAGATAGAGATAGACAGAGAGTACTCCGTTTACAGTTCGCTCGCAAATATTTTGTTCGCCATCCCTTTGTTGTGCATTTACAGTTGATTTCATTGTGCCGGCGACATCCTGGGAATGAAGCTATTAACAGGTGTGTGCGCTGCTCTCTCCGCACTCTTTTGTGTGGGTGTTATAGTTTTGGTTCTCCATATGATAACTGAGGAGATCCTTCTTATGCGGGTAGCTCCGTTCGTCTCGTCGCCGATGATAAAACATAATGATGATGTATCGGGGATTTGTTTTATTTGTGCTGGTTACTGCGCATGTGTACGTATTTCACATGGTATGGAGAATGGTGGGAATTTAATTGTTATTTGTCTATTCATTGATTAACAATTAAGATCCTCTACTTTTTCAAAAATTATGACATTTTTGATAGTCAGAGGCAAGGGCGTAGGCAGGGGGGGCCCCCCTAGAAAAAATTTTTCCATATAAAGTCGACCACACGTTCATTATTATGACGCATTATTTCGCCTTAAGATGAATCTGCGTTGGATTTGTTGAAGTTTTTTCATTGATCATATGCATAAATTATTTTTTAATTGCATCGGGCAATATTTAATCAAAATTTTAAATTTTTGGCCCCCCCTTTGGTAAAAGCTGGCTACGCCC